AGAGAGAGAGAGAGAAAGGTATGAGCGTGAAAGTAGGGTATGGAAGAGCATGGATGAATGGAAGAGAGTATGCATGGAACGAGGAAAGAAAATGTATGTATGAAAAGAATTTTTAAGAAGAGCCCTCACAGTAAGCGAAAAGAATATCAGCAGAAGATGCAAAACAGAAAATAGAAGGAAGGAGAGAAATGAGAGAGAAAGAAAGGTGAGAGGGGTGATATGGAATGTGGCAAGGTTAAAAAGAAAAGAAGAGGACTTCTGGGAATTCTTAAAAGAATTCGAAATAATTGGGTTGACGGAAACATGGGTAGACGAAGGGGAGTGGGGGAAATTAAGAAAGAATGTGCGAAAGGGAGAGCGAAAGGGGGAATTATAACTGGAGTGAGAATGGAGTTGGAGGAGATAGACACTGAGCGTGAAGAAGAAGAGAGGTTTCAAGAAAGAGCGGTGAAAGTGGACGGAAAGAAGTGGAGAGTAGTAACAGTATACAATAGAGATGGAAATAAAGAACTACTGGATAAGGTAAAGGAGTGGATTAAAGAGGGGGAAGAAGAAATTTTGGTGATGGCAGGAGATTTTAATGCAAGAATAGGAAAAAACGGAGGGTGGGAGGATAATGAGGGAGGGGACGGTGAAGAGAGGGAGTCAAAGGATGAAATTTTAAATAAGCAAGGGAGGGATTTAGTAGACTTAATAGAAGAAAGAGGATGGATAGTACTGAATGGGGGGAAATATGGGGATGAGGAGGGAGAGTGGACGTATGAAAAGGCGGGTAAAAAGTCAGTCATTGACTATGGAATAGTGAATTGGGAAGGATGGCAAAGAGTGGCCAAGTTTGAAGGATGTAGAGTGGAATCAGATCATCAGCCGCTGATACTGGAAGTGAGGAACCAGTACGCAAGAAAAGAGGATAAAAGGGAAGAAGAGGGAAGAGTGCAAGATTGGTCGGAGGAGGGAATAAGAGAGTATAGGAAGAGGATGGAAGAAGTGAAATGGAAAGAGGATGACAAAGGGGTAATGGAGGAATGGGAAGAGTTGGAAAGAGAAATAATGAAGGCGGAAAATCAAGAGAAAAGGAAAGAGGAGAGGGATAGGGTGGTGCCCTTGGTGGGATAAAGAGTGCAGAGAGAAAAAGAGAGAGGTGAATAGAGCGAGAAGAAGATATAGAAGAGAAAGAGAAGAAGGATACCAAGAATTTATAAGATGCAGAAGAGAATATAGGAATTTGTGTGTGGAAAAAGAAGAGGAATATAAGAAAAAAGAAGAAATAGAGATAGAAAACATAAAGACAGAAGCAGAGGCATGGAATTTTATAAACAGAGGGAGGAAGAAGAAGGAGGGGGTGTGCAAAGAAATTAATATAGAGGAATGGGAAAAGCATTTTAAGGAGGTTTTGGGGGGAGTACAGGAAAAGAAGGAAAATCAACAAAGAAATAACAGGAGTAAGAAGGAAGGAGAGGGGATAAGTCAAGAAGAGGTAATTAGGGAAATAAATAGGCTAAAAAAGGGAAAGGCGGCAGGAGTGGATGGAATAAGAAATAAGACATGGAAAGAAGGGGGAGAAAAGATTAGTAGTAAGATAAGTGGATTAATAAAAAGAGTGTGGGAAGGGGACGGCTTCCCAGAGAAATGGAGAGTGGGGGTGGTGGTGCCAATCTGGAAGAGAGGAGACAGGAAAGAAACAGGAAATTACAGAGGAGTGACAAGTACTGGGTATAAAATTTATGCAAATATAGTGAATAAGAGGTTGGTGAAAGATATAGACGAAAAAGGAGGATGGTGTAGATCGCAAGCGGGATTCAGAAAGGGAAGAGGAACAGTGGAAAATATAAAAATATTGAACGTACTTTTTGCCGAACATTTAGGAAGTGTAAACGAAGTACTAACGAAGTATTTAGGAAGTGTATCAGTACGCTTCATGCATTCTTTGCGTAATGTTGAGGAGCGTATGAGAAACGTTAATAAAAAAAAATTTAAAACGTGTGAGAAATGTGACAGATGTGTTTTAAGCACATTTTACGGAGCGTTTGGAAAGAGTTCGTGGAGCGTGTATGAATATTCAAAACCACTAAGAGTCAATGGAAAATCAATGAAGTGTTTAAGAAGCATTAAAATTCTTTGTTCACACTTCTTTGACGCTTCAACAAATTTTACATTTTCATCAGGAAGAATGTTTGGACGAGTCCATTTTTATCTCATTTAATCACGTTCTTAATTTTCTCTTTGTTTATTCCATGTAGAAAGCATTATAGTCACCACAATACAATTTATACATATAACATTGTTTTTGTTTATCGATAAAACATCCACACAGCACTTTTCATTAAAAATATACATTAAAAACGTATCTATGTTGTATTTACATTGCATTTCATTTCATATCAAATATAATGTATTAAATATGTAATAAAAGCAATGGATATGAAATATCCAAGTCGAAATACGTATGTGATATGTATCAGATATATTGTGCATATCCAAATCGAAATATGTGTGTAATATATAGCAGGTATATTGTGCATATTTAAATGCATGGATATATAACATGTAGTTGATACGTATTTAACAGAATATAATAATACGTCACAAGATGATGGCGTACTTATAGTGT